CCCCGCCCCGCGGAGCGTTGCACGTCGTATCGCTACTGAGGCAACAGCATACCGGGTATTAGAAAACCCACTTTTCCTAATAAATAGTTCTAATAAAACTAGAAAAGCCGCTGGGTGTCTGGTGATGCTACAAGAGAGCCCGCGGCCGGCCCAGCCCCAGGGCCCCAAACTGCTCATGTTGCACCAGGAGGTACAACACAGCGTGGGTGTCTCCTCACAGGTTACTCACTGGAAAACGGCACTCGCAGTTGTCTTGCGGGCCGTGGAAGCCTCTCCTCAGGCCCACAGGGAACAGCCTTGCAACACCAGAGCAGTAATGCTCCTCTGTCACACGCTCTGGCAGCTGGGCAACCCACCCTGTGAAGCAGCCAGAATCCGAAATGAAGTGATAACCCCCGGGAGTCCTGTAAAGTGGATCCCGTAAAGCCTGCCCGGAAAACAAAGGGCTGGTTTTGCTGAGCGTGGCTGGAGACCAGATCGAGGCGGCTTCTGCCAGACTGAGAGGGAAAGAGGAAAGACAGCTCCTGTTCAACGTAAACCCCTTTACAGCACAACAGGACTGACCCTTCCCAAAACAAGGACATTCCAGGCCACATTTCCTCCCAAAGGTTCTGGAAAAATGTGTCCTTTTTAATTCGGGGATTATGGTTTGGTTTTAGCTCTGAGTAGTAGAGCAGCCCACGCTTTTCAAATTGGTCTTCATTTCTTTTGGCAGGCTTTAACTGTCATGAAATACAAGGAGGACCATGGGATGACCTTCATGCCTTAGCAAGATCTCTTAAAATAAGTTGTATATAAAATGCAGAAGAGATTATTGCTCCAAAAATGAGAAACTGAGCCAGAAGCCAACACATGAACAATGCTGAGACTGTAGTGTGGGTGGAAATTCTCACTGCTGTGCTTGCTTTCTTTGAAGCTGTAAGAAAAGTCCATTTATTGGCTGATAGGAGCCACAATTTCTAAATCAGTACACAAACAGATTAGTAGGAGGGAGAGGGTGAGAAGAGTATCTACAAAAGCATTAATACACCAAAAACCACAAAGACACTACACTCCCCAGGTACACCCCTCAGGCACATGCACCTAACTGCAATACACTGTATCAAGAGCAAGGTCCCTCCTTCGATTTAACCAGAAAGAATCCTGCTGAAAGCCGAGAGATAAGTCTTGCTCATTAAAGTATTTAAAAAAAAAAAAAATCACAAACAAACAAACAATCCATACAAAGAAACAAAGTTGGGATGAACTATTAGACAATACTGCATCTTCAAAAGTAACCTGTCTCTTCACTTCCCCAAACAACTCTCTACTTCCCTGAAACATACATGTTTTAGTATGGAAATTAAATACAAATGAAAAGATTTTGTGATCTGCCTTCGCATTATAAATGCAAAATTTTGTTCTGTGAAAAATGAAGCTGAAATGGCTCAGTATTAACATAAGGATAGAGAGAGTAACCCAAGGAAAGGGGAGGGAGTCAGACACAGATGTTTAAATCTACAGATGATCTCTAGAATTCAGGGAAATCACTTTCTGCTCAGTTGCCAGATTTGGAAGATAGAAGTCTTCTACAGGGGTTATTTTTTAAAGCAAAATTTGAAGTACAGTCTAAAGCTCTGCACACATGACTCTGAGAAAACTATTACTTCTCCTTCTCTCTCCTACAGTTACCTGTTTGTTGTGAAAGGACCTAAATGCTAGGCCCTCTACCTTCCTAAATTGTTTGGAATTGAAGAGGGTCTTCCCTCTGTTCTTCAGTCTTAGGCTGCTGTCTCAGCTCAAGAGTCTGAAATTTTCCTCACCCTGTAAGGCTTTACCATCACAATTCCGACCTCTCCATTTAAAAGAAATTAACTATCTGGGTATTTGGTGAAATACCCATGTGTTGAATTGCATATGCCTTTAGGGCAGCTTTTGGTTTCTAGAACAACAAAAGCAGGCTGCATTAAGAAAGAAAGACGGAAGGAAAAAAAAATATAGCTTTATCACAAATAGACTCACTAACCTCATCAGCACAGAACTTGTCTCCAATCTTTTTGAACACCAGACCTCAGCCACATCCTACTGCAGAAGACGGAGGCTAGAGCACGAGTGGGGACCAGCGCTCAGCCCCAGCCCAGGAACAGCTCCAGGCTGACTCAGGCATGTGCCTGTGGCAGAGGGTGGGACGCCGCTGGCAAAGGGAACAGCACAGACACCTACACGAAGCCGTTTTATGAGGGAAGCTACGAAGACACCAAGTTTACAGCTAGAGGCAAAACCAAATAGCAAACAAGTCTGCTTAGGTCTGGGGCTGCTGTGCTTTGGCACACGCAATTGCAATCCTTCTTTTTTGGTTTGATTGCTTTGAGTTTCCTGCCCATGTGACTTTTTTCCCCATGGGCTGTATTTATTTCACTGAAGACAGCTTTTTCCTGGCAGAGTACTGTACTGTGAAGTCTTTGGTGGCTTCTACAATCTGAACACTGTGGATTACAGACTGTCACCAACGCCTCCAGCAGACAGATGGGATGTGAGAGCACAGTGATACTACAAGCATTTACAATTGGATGGGGTTTTTCCCCCTCCCTCCTTTTTTCATATCAAGGCACTAATCTCTTCAAGCATAAGCTGTTATGTTGTGGACTTGAAGTGCTTATTCCTGACATAAAAGGCAATATAGATGGAAGGTTGCTGGAGCCAGAACCAGATTAATTATCAAAAAAAAGAGTATGTACTTCTACTCCATTAACAGTTATTCACAGATAGAATTAGGTACACACTTGGAAAACTGCCTCACTGGAAGAGGTTTTGCAGCAAACTGACTGGCTTGTTTATTTGATTTTTTGACAGAAATCACCACAGCAAGAATTGTTTCACCAAACAACTCAGTATCTGAAACTCAGCAAAGCTCTGGTCTGCAAATATTTACAAACTTGTCCAAGTTTTCTCACAGAAGTAGAAGAACTCTCATACACAGCCATATAAAAGAACTGTCAGGCACGCACACTCGTAGGATCAGGTTCCCAGAGCATATAATCATTTTGGTTGGAAGACACTTCCGGAGGTCATCTAGACTGAAGTCCTGCTCAAAGCAGGACAAATTAACACCAAGTGGCTCAGGGCCACATCCAGTTGAGTTTGTAGTGTCTTCAAGGATGGAGATTCCATAACCTTCCTCAGCTCCTGACTACCTGTACAGTGACAATTTTTTCCTAATATATAATCACAATTTTCTATACACAAACTTTTGTCTGTTGTCTCTTTGCTATCCCTGTGCCCTCCGAGCTGGGTCTGGCTCCATCTTCTGAATACCCTCCCTTTAGACAGTTCAAGACAGCAGAAAAGTCTCCCTTAGCTTTCTCTTCTTAAAGCTAAGCAAGCCCAGTTCTCTCTCCCCCTACCCCTTGTGCTCCAGCCCTCTCATCTTAGTGACATCTGCTGGACTCACTCCAGTATGTCAATGTCTGTCTTCTACTGGGGCGTTCAAAACAGGACACAGGTCTTAGAACTACTGAATGTAAGGGAAGACTTACTTCCTCAAACCTGCTGGCTTCATTTTACTGATACAGGCCAAGATGCAGTTGGCTGCCTTTGCCACAAGGGCACACTTCTGGTTCCCGGTCAATCTGCGTTTGAAGAGGATGACCATCCCCTTTTTCTGCAAAATGTTTTCTGAGCCAGTACTACTGCACGGGGTTATTCCAACCTAGATGGAATAAATACTCAGTCACACCTGCCCTTGTTAATGAGGTTTAGTTCTGTTCATTTCTCTTGCCTGTCAAGGAACCTCTGAAAACCAGCTGTGTCCTCCAGCACATCATAACCTACCTGCTAACCTACACTGCTCCTGATGGAATCAGCTATTCTGAAAAATTAGGCTCCTTACCTTTGTAGAGCAATAGATTTTACAAAATGTACTGCTTGATTCCTTTTGTTCTGAACAAGCTACACGCGCACGTCAGCAGCTTTGCAAATATCTTATGAATACAGAAGTGCTGCTTCTATTTTCTTCTACGGTTTGAGCTCCTTCTGGCATCACCCAGGATGCATCAGCCCTCCAGCTGAGGTGCAAGAGGGGAAAATCAAGAAGTACCTAGGCCACAGAAGAGAACTTAAGATGCATTTGAACTAAAAAAAAAAAAAAAAATCACAACACATAGGGACAGTGCAGAAGGACACAGACTGATATTGAATCAAGACAACAGGAAATGTTACAATTCAGTTCAACAAATGCTGACGAGGTTCAGATCAGGAATGTTTAACTATTTTATATTAAAAAGAAATCCAGAGATAAGTCATCATAATGGAAATCCTTTCCACAACTTTGTTCCATCACAGATCAACATATTAATCTGACACTGTATGGGAACAACTTTTCTTGAAATAACAATTTCCTATCACATAAGAATTCTTGGGTTGGTTTTTTTTTTAAAAACAAACAAACAAACAAAACAGTGCTAGACTAGTGAGAATAGTGTAATTCACTGTCAAGAAACATCATGATTGGTCATGAGAGTTAAAAAGGGAACAAAAGTTGTCACAGAATAATTCAAACAGATAAATCTTATGGCACATTTCAAAGGCTGACATCAAAGCAATTTTAAGTAGACACTCTTTATACAGTAAACAGTTACATATAATATGCATGACAAATATATGACAGTTTCAGTATTTAATATTTAATATCCAAATATCCAAATTAAACATAAGTATTCAAAAGAAAATATTTTTACACCATTTCAGTAGTCACTTAGCTCAGTAGTTGATTGCAATAATCTGTAATATTTTCAGGAACTAGATGGAGCTGTAAGCACAAAAACTCCCATTAAAGTTAATGCATGACACAGTCCCACTGCAACCCTCTGAAAAGCAGAGTTACATTAAAAGAAATCCGGACACTGAAGTACATTGATTAGTATTGTGTCCTACAGTAGAGTTTGATACTCTACTGGTCAGCAACATGATGGTAACTTCAGAAGGCACTCTGAGTGAAACTACAGTAACTCGGGTCCACAAGCATTTTACCGTCTTGGTGTCGTACAGCAGAAAAACACTCCTGTATTTATTCAATATAAATTGCTTTCATCTCTGTGCTAGCCCTAGAGCAGTCAAATTATATTGCACTTTTAAAACATTCTGTGTAGGCTGTGATAAAAATCTAATATTTACATGTTGTGTTTGTTAAAGAACAATGCATTACTTTGTAAAATATTTTAAGAACCAAGTTTTATCACTTGTATTATTAATATAATCAGAAGCTTACTTTTTTTTTTTTATTAGCTCCTATTCTAGAAACATTTTTGGTCCTTCAAAAAATGTGTTATGCTGCAGTTCATCTTCACAACTGGTATCAATGCTTGCCTGAAATTGCAGTAGTTAGAATGTTTAATTAAATAAATACGCCATTTCTAAAGGAGTAATAGCTTTGGAGTTTTGTAAACAAACTGCTCTGGAAAGTCTGTAACAAGACTCTATTTGGCATCTTAGGACTTTTAATTGGCAATACTTTACAGTTATACAACCCCTGCCAGGGTAGAAAACAGTTTAGCAGGCACTTCTTATAAATCAGTCTGGAAAATGACCCCAAAAATACTGATTGTTCCTTAGGTTGTATGAATAAATAAAAATGATCAAAAAGTAACACGATCCACTGAAACGAAAAATTGACATTTATGTGATGGGGGCGAGGGGAAGAAGAAGCAACTCTACTCTTTTTTAAAGACAACCTAAAAGATATTAACAAGACATAAATGAATATACGATAACCAAGACGTACAGGACACTAAGGCTGGCAGAATAAAGTGAGCATTATAGATTTATAGAACTGGTATCTTAGCTGCATCTCACCAGAAGACAATCATAACTCATTTTTCAATCCAAATTTGAAGAAACATTCCAAATATGTGTTTGGCAAAACAAATTCAGTGCAAAGCACTAGCTCTGATGAAATTTTGCTGACAGCTAGGTTGCTCTCCATTCCTGTTAAAACACGAGTGGTGAAAAGAAACGTAACAGAGGTACAGTTATGCCATTCACATCTAACTGTATGTACACGCATGTTCCAGAAATTCAAATGACGCCAGGAGGTCTCATAGGCTGCGCTGAATATATTTTATATAGTACAGTTGTAGTTTACATGTTCAATTTCATGACATACCCAAAGTGCTCTACATATGCTTCTCTCTAGTTTTTTGTTCTATACAGAATAGCTTGCTTCTGGTTTTCATCACTAAAAACTGATGGTTTGAGAGAGCAAGGAAAAGCCACTTGCAGGTTTTTGTGGAAAACACGGAATTTGCTCTTTAAGACTGTTATTGATTGATGAAAAAGATGAAGTAATTCTGTTCAAAACCAAGAGCCATGTTGATAAGCTTGCTGTTAGTAGAGAGCAAGAGCTATCACAGTACTAATCTGCATGCCTAGTCTGTGTAGATAACAGAGTCTTCAGAGGGCGGTTGAAAATCCGTCAATTCAGAAGGCCCATACAGAGGGATGTTTCTAAATTCGGTAAAGAAAATTCCTCTCCTTCCCTCGCCTCCAAAGCAGAGATGGAAAGGAATATCCAGTGCTATACCAAATTAAACCTCTGTCCTATCACTAAAACTGCATGCCTTGCAAGCAAGGGTCAATGTTGTTTGAGAGGAAAAAACCAAAAAATTAGTATCAAGAATTAATACAGCTCATTAAGTAACGACACAGTGTGATTTGTCCGTAAGTTAAACAGTTAAGCTGCAACTGTACTATATCCTATACATGAAAGTTGACTGTAACTGAGTTAACAGCCACATTTGCCTTTTTCTTGCTCCTCGTTCAGCTGTTCTGTAGAGCTGTGCCCATTGGAGCGCACCACCCCTTCTGGGATCCAGGATTTATCCACACACCGTTCCATGCGCTTCATAATGAGGTCAAGCAGAGTTTCAATGGCTTTGCTGACATTATTCCCATTAGCTGCGCTGGTTTCAAAATAGGGTATTCTGCAGAAGACAAAAAATCACAAGCTTACAGCACAGAGTTTGTATTCACAGGAGAAAAACCAATACATGATTACTGTCATATTCTTAAAACAAATAAATAAATAAATAAATAAATCACACAAATGCTGTTACTGCTCCTCCACAGCAGAAAGACACTAAGTAGTCAGTGATCTGGAATGCAAAAGAAATTAATGAACTGGCTGACTCTGTAAGGAGGGCAGAAGCAGCAGCTTTAATTTACATCATGGAGTCCACAATTTACAGAGGCACTGGTCAGTAGGAGTTCCCAAAGCTATGCTCCGGAGATCCAGTTCTTTCAGCACTGTTCCCTACGAGAGGTGCAATTACTCTATACGGCCTTGTGTGCATAAGTCTTCTCCTTTACTTCTACCTACATCATCAAGGGAGTTGTTGCAAGAGAGAGAATACGTTGGATGTTCCCCTGCAGGCAAGGCAGTAAAGACTCCTAATGTGGTGCCCTTATCACTACAAAAGTGTTTCTTCTGCCGACACCTCAACTATAAACTCTTACATGAAAAAAATAAATTAGAAACCCGTAATCTCAATGCTCAGACTACCTATGTCTTTATTAACAAAAGTTTCTGGGTGCCCTGGTTTTCATTATTGTGGATCGGGACGTTTCAATGGTGGGTCTGAAGGCTTCGACCGTCTGTGCTCGGGGCTCTCCACGGGTGGTGCTACGTGAGTGCTACTCCCCAAGGGACTGACACAGTCACTTCAGCATTTGAAGATTTCTTACTTAACTGGCCAGATTCAGTGAGCTGTCAAAATATTAACTTACTGTCTCTCAGTGTGTAGGTCTCCTGCAATCATTTTCAAAATCCAACACTTAACCAGCACAAGGCCTTTCCACACAAAGAGGATATTCACTTTCTCACACTGTTCACTCCAGGAGGATTTATCTTGCTTCCCCTCAGGAGCAAGTGACTCCTACCAGCTATCCCATCTCACCTCTACAGGGCAGAGGACCTGTAACCACCCACAGGCTGAACGGGATCTATTACTTTGACTTTTAGCTCTCTATTCCTAAATTAAGTTAGTATTTTCAGCCACAAAGATAAATATTTCATAGATTATTTCCAGAAGTCACATGCAGAGATCTCTTTCTGATCTTCTAAGAAATGACCACACGCCATCTGCTGCTGTTTACAAGTTTTTGCTCCTTCACAAGCAGCTACCATACGCACTTGCTGTTGTCTGTGTGACACGGACTTCACACAAGCATTTTCACAGGAGAAGGAAAAAGAAAGAAGGTGATACTGCACTAAACCAGTTTGTCTCTAATGGACAGATTGCTTCTGATTTGCCTTCAGTGATTCCTTGAGGTCAAGGAAAGCTAATTTGTGACTATGTGATAAGAAACAGCAGAGCACAACAGGACTAGACCTGCGGAACATGGCAGCCTGCACTGGGGGCCTCGTGTTCACACCGTGCAGGTTTTATGGGCTTTGCTTTTCCCCAGGACTGAATGCAGATTACTGGCTGGAGCACATCATCTAGTTTACTCTTCAATTGAGAGGGAATCCAGTTCACATGCTAGAAAGCTGCTCCACTATGTGAATCGACTACAATAAATGGATCAGATTTGCTTCAGAAGTGCACTTCTGATCCCCACTGAAATGCAAATGCAATCCAGAGATGAGACCCACTGAAGAGTTGAAGGGGTCTAAGAGTACTATGGTATTAACTAGCGTCTGATAGGAATAAAGATTTCACACAGTTCCTTTAGGGACACATGACCGGTGCCTGCAGGGAAGGGGAAGGGCAAGGCTACGCTGTCTGTCTGCTGCCCTGACTCAGTTTTCAGACTCCCTGGGAGTCTGTGAGAGCCCAGACACCTGCACGAAAACACAGCTGACGCCTCCGAGGCTGCCACTGTGAATGCACCGAAGGCACAGTCCTAACAAAACTGCTTCAACAGCTGGGGGAAGATGGAACGGGGAGGGGGCAGAGAACTGGGGAACTGTGGTCTGGACCAGAAGTGCTGTTCTGCAGGAACCCAGCACTCCCGGCGCAGACTCTGGACAATGGTGGATGGGTCCCAAAGCTCTCAAAGAAACTGAGGCCACATGTTTCCATGGCCATGCCAGAGACAGGTTGTAGGCTGCCCTACAACAAACTTCTGTAAAACAACTCAGCTTATAAATTAGGGTATAATTGTGTGGTATTATTTCTGGTTTCCCTCAAGTCTGATGTGACACTCCTCACCTCACCAAATGCTCTTTTGGATTTCACTTTGTAAGAGACCTGGGTTTTCTGTGCCCCACAGAAAGCCTCAGCACAGGCAAGAGTAAAGAATTAGACCCTCATCATTCATCTGCCTCTCCAGCTAAATTCTGTCTCTTTTCCAGAATGTCTGTGAAAATTTGTTTTGTTCACTGCCAAGGAAAGATGATGATTAACCAGTCTCTAGTGCAACATTATTCCAATACTGAGTATGAATTTTTAGGCAATGCACAAATCATTAATCTCTGACAGAAAAAAAAGATGCTGCCCAGTTAAGCATTCTAAAATGCTCACACAATAACCTTTCAGTATACAGAAAAGCCATTACAGACACTTCATTCTGCTTTAAACACAGCAATAACTGGAAGGAAGTTACTTACCCATATTTTTCTGCAAGTTCCTTAGCCTCTTCTTCTTTCACCATTCTTTGGTCTTCCAGATCACTCTTGTTTCCACATAATACAATGTCAGGGTTTTCACAATATGCATGCATTTGTAGCTGACCTAACAGCAACAACGTGAACAGGGGTTACAACTTACTGTCACACACAGAGCTTAGTCAGAACACTATCACATTTCAGGGTCACAAAGCCCGTCAGGAAAATGACTCTGTGAAAGATAGAAAACAGGTACAGTCTCTGTTATCTCACAGGACTTCTGCTACGACACTGAGGAGCCAGAGAACAGGCGGACAGCCACGACCATGTCCCCAGTGAAAAAGCCAGGGAACGAGTCGGGGGAGCAGAAGCCTGACAAAGTAAAAACAGAATCTGTGTCTCTGTAGCTTGAGTTACGTTCACCACGCATCTTCAGTGAGCTGCCAGTAGAAGATATACTTCCCTCTCCTGACAGATGATGCAGTTTGGGAAGTCCTTCACCTAGTTGTACCAGCCTAGTAACATCTGCCTTCCCCTAAGTTTTGCTGACAAAGCTTCAGATGAGTCAGAAGAGAGTTTTGCATAGGATTTCACACAAATTACTGAAGATCACCACCGGAGCTAGGGATATGATGTTCTCTCAGCTTGCTTTTATGTAGGCTAAGATTCAAGTTCAGTAGCAAAGCTGAATTTCAGGTAGAACACTAGAAGCCACCACTACCAGCTTTACTACCAGTAACAATTATGAATGCAACATTTATTTCTTTTACTGAGAAAGCTATAAAACAAGTCATTTCAGTTCTATTCTCAGTGAGACTCCGTATTTACAAACACAGCCCTCTTCCCACCCATGGGAGAAAGAAAAAAGTAAAGAAAAGCCATACTTATCCAGTTCCTGACGTTCAGAAAGCTTTGCTCATTTGTCAGATCAAACAGTAGAAGAAATCCCATGGCATCTCTGAAGAAAGCTGTTGTCAAGCTACGAAACCTGGACCAGCAAAGTGAAATTATAGTTGGCTCATCTGACAAGTTACTTTGAAAATATAATTGCATACAGTCATAAAACTGAGGTAACTTGAGACTGAGTTAACTAGAATGAAATACTATCATCAATGTTTTGCTGATGTAGGGGCTGCATAACAGGAAGTGCTGACGTTACTACGGGCTGATCAAGGGCTGAAGAAGTCAAGGAGACAGTTCACTCGAGCGTGAGAGCTTTGAAGTCTTCTACTACAAAGCATGCCTTGATTGAGATTCAGAAATTAAAATAAGAATGAAGTTCAATCTTTGAACAGAAGTTTGCCCCCTAAACACATCAGTTCTTGATTTTAAGACTACCAACCACTAGGATGCTGGTCTTTGGATAGACAAATAGAAAAGAATCCTTTGAGGTGATTTCACCTGTCTGACTTTCCCAAGACCTCAACATATTTACAGAAATTTAAGGAAAAATGGGGAGATAAAAAAAAAAACAACAACCCAAAAGCTTTAAAAGCACTATATACATGGACTACAAAAGAATAAACAGAGTTTCCAAAAGACAAAAAGCAACAATTACAGTCTTAATGGTCTACATCTGTAAATTACAGTTGTAATTTAATGTGTATTCATAGGAAAGCTTCCATCACTGGTGAAGTTGAAGTAAGTGCACTTTCCCTTCTTGAGACATACAATTGAAATGTAACAATCAATCAAGGGAATTAATGTACTTGGTTCCATTTGCATGGAGCTTGATGACAACTGCCTTACTGGCTAGGTGGGGGGTGGAACGTACCTTTCCTGCCCTGCAGTGTCCCAGAGCTGAAGGTGTATCCTCTGTCCTCTGCCACCAATGCCATCTGGCCCATTGGGTCTATACACCTGCAAAAGGGAAATGTGCCAGACAGTGTGAGCAGTCCAGCCTCTACAGAACACAAAATAACTGATAGAGTCATTCAATGCAGCAAAACTAGCACTGCTGATGATCCCAACTACAACTCAACCCTTCTGTTTTATAAGGCAAAAGTAATATGGGTTGCAGTTTAATTTTTCATCCAATTGAGTATTTAAAAATAAGGGGAAAAGTGAAACTGGAAAAACATTATCCAATAGACCAGGGACTCTAAACAGATATTTAGAGTGGCCATTAAGTTTCATTAGGCAAGCTTAATTTTAGTATTTTAATTTTCTATTTTTTGTGATTAACTTGTATCGTGTTCGAATTAAAATGTAATTATAAGAAATCAACAATAAAATCATGCAATCTGGCAGGACATTTGCCCCACTAACAGAACGCTGTTAGCAAAAGAGAATATACCTATAATGACATCTCTTCTTAGCTGCCAAAAGATTGCTGAAAAAGAGCTGAGGGTAGATCTTATCATATCATAGCTTAAAAAGCAGCAAGTGGATGATAACAATAAAAGCTGAGAAGTTTATTCAGCATGAAAATATAAATAAGGGCATCTGTTAGCTTTGTAAGGATCAGATAAAAATAGACTCGTTTCCCAGTTAAAACACTCCTCATCAGGTCGTCGTCTTTACCTTCAACTGTCGTTGTACCCAAGATCCCCAGAGTGACAAACATACCTTTAGAGACACAAAAATCTGCTGAATTTGTGGATTATATGAATCAGGTTGTGAAACCTCAATCTTATCCTGAGTTATCAAATATGCTGCTCAAGTTAACCCACCACGTTCACTACCCCACAGGAGGAATACTAACATTCAAGAGACCAGTTTCACATTCATTAAGATGTTTACTCCTTACGTTACTGTGGTGCGTGTCGTCCATCAAAAGCCAGCCTGCACAATGCCCATTGCACCGTCCAGATTTATGGGCACTTGGGAAATCAACAGACTACACTGAAAGGCATTTAATACTTCTACATAAGAATGAAAAAAACCCAAAACCCAACCTCATGCCAACTCAAATTCTCGGCACAGTAAGGACTAGCATCCAATTGGGTATCGTAATGCAGCTTTGCACGTTTCTCTAGTTTAGGAACAATTCAGGGGTTAAAAATCCCCAAACCCACCTACCTTATTTCTTCACAATGCTTCGCTGATAGAGAAGCCAGATCAGCTCCACGTATCATGCTATGCAACTTCATTCGCGTTTTAAAACAGTTTTAAAATCAACGTTGCAGTCTTTGCTCACTAGCCATTTCAGTTCAAAACATTTTTACTACGGTCCAATCCTTGATCAGAGTTCAACAGTAAAAATCCTACTCCAGGTACTACGTACACAACTCACAAAGTAGATACACTCATCAATATTTGCCGAGCAGTAAGGAAGTAGTTGCTTAGAATCAGCTCTTCTTTAACTTTGGGTGAAGTGAGGGGGGACAACACACACCAACAAAAATAACCAGGTAAAACGAGATCTCTTCCTCGCCACAAGATTAAGTGCAGAGCAACTACTGGTTGCATGCCTACACGTAAGGATTGGTAGGTCACATTTTTAAAAAACAGGTTCTAGCCATCACCAAGACAGATGCCATTTTAAAGCAGCACACTCTGTGAAAACTCACCACTCTCTTTTCCCGAAAGTCAATGCCCACCGTTGTGATGAATTTGGAATTAAATTTGCCATCCGTATATTGGTAAAGAAGGCTGGTCTTTCCTACTCCAGAATCACCAAGTGCTAGAAATTTTATGAGGTAATCATAGTCTCCATCAGACATAGTGATAATTCAGGAGACACCTTAAAAAGCAAAGCAAAAAGGATTAGTTAGCCAACAACTCTGCCCAGGCTTCTTTTGACAAGTGGTTAAAATACAAATCACTAACTACAAAGCACCCAGCAGTGGGACCAGTTCTGTACTCTTCTACACTGGTTTCACCTGAAACTCTCAATTATGCCAATTATCAATATCAAATTCAACTGTACCTGAAAAAGTGCATCATTAATTTTACTACATTCCTCTTACTAGAAGCAGAAGGCAACACAATTTTAACTTCTTCAGGAAAGATTGAAAATCAAGGTCAAAGTATTCAAGACATCTGGAACATAAACTGCAGAACTGTTTTTAATCTGCATGGAAGCTGGCAAAATTTATGTCAACACACCAGCAATGCAGTTCTGACCTCACATTCACTGGGACATTATTAACATATGCAAAAAAATTATTTTGGAGACTGTCCACTATATTTAAATAAAAATGACAATAATTTTCTATTGTAATAGTTATTTTTCGGTCCTGAAAAAGTTTTTTCCTATGGGGAGAAAAAATAACCAAGCAACACATTTTGTTGCTGGGGTTTTTGTTGTTTTGTTTAAGAGGACCAATTTTCAAAATTGTGAAATTTTATCATGATGCTAGTTAATCACTTAAACTAAATCTTGATCCTGAATTGCCGTTAGACAACACACCTGTTTTCCTGTGGCCCATACACATGTAAGAAATTTCTCTCTATCCTTTTTTTGTGCCTTTGAAAAAATAACCACATGAGATATAGTCTGATCAAAGGGCAGGAACAGCTACAACGTGTAACAAAAGTCCCTGACAAATTTCATATACACTAGAAAGACTGATGTAAGTGCACTAGGACTTTTCTGTTGAGTAGCTACTGAGCCTCTCTTCCCCCAAAACAAACAGTAGAGAGCTGCCTTCTGTTGTGTTCAGAGACATGAACATGAAAAGATAAGCCTAAAATAGCCATTCAAAAAGCAACATAAAACTGGCACTGAACTGCCTCTTACGAAGGAGGGAAATAGATACTGAAATACAAAAAATAAGACAGATGTTGAAATACAAAAAGTAAAACCTGCTGTTTCAACTGTAAATAAGTATCTTTGGAACTATTTGTTGCTTAAACTAGATAAAATTATTTATTCACTTCAAGTCAAACCTCAGTAGTTTGCATCAGTTCACTTCTTGAATATCAACTCACAGCTTGAGGTTTGGAACAAACTCCCTATGCCCAGTATGTGAATGTCAATCACCACCATGAAGCTCAAACCATAACAACCTTTAAAGCTTCAACTTTGTGTTGATACTGCTCTTGGTTAAAAGACAGAACTGTGATTAGTCAACTTAGCCATGACCGGACTTAACCATGATCAAACACAGACTATGGTCAGATTTATACCCAGATACTCTCCAACTGAAACGTCAGTGGAAAGCATCTGATTCTTTTTTTTGCCATTTCCAGTTTTGAAGTCTCCCCTTCCCCAGACAAGGGATATTTTACATTATGCCATCAGTGACAGTAAAACCTTGGGGGAAAGGGGTTTTAGGTGACAGAGTTCACACTCACTACACCACCACAGCCAGCTCATTCGCTTGCCCCTGTTGTGTTTCAATACAAAGTTTTGCAGTAGAGTAAAAGATTGAAACAAAAAACCCCACAGAAATAGTTGCCAGTGAGCTTTTTACATAAATACACCAGAGCTGCAGGCCTGCACCCACCACACGGGTCTGAAAGAACAGCATATTCATGTAAGCGAGTTCAACAGGCAGCCACACTGATGTAAGAACATTTTTTAAAGAAATTAAAAGCCCCGATCCATTAGACACACTCATACATACCAGCAAGAGGGGTCTGGGTGTTTTTGTTTTGTTTTTTTAAATCCTCTCTCCTGCTGGGGAAGGGGAAAAAAAAAAAAAAAAGTAAAATCAGACTGCCTACCTTGTAGCTCTACAAAGTCATTTCACTGAAATGCACTGGAAGAAAGGGAAAAATATTTTAAGAAGCAAACAAGGAGGTGTTTACTAAAGACTGGATTTGATTTAGATGTCCATCTTGTATATAGTGATTCTTTCACCTGCAGATGTTCTCCAAGGGCAAAGGCTCCCCCTCTGCTCAGTACAGGTTCTTTCAGCTTCAACACTCCTAAATAAATTGTTGCTTTGAAAGGCTTAAATGCAAATCTTAGGGCCGGTATTTTATACAAAGACAAGCTAGCCTCGTGTCTTTTACTAAGCTATCCACCTCTACAGAAGTATTTGCTTTGCTTTGTTGGTATTTTGTTAGCTAGCTATAGATACCTAGAACATACTTCAGTAACAGATACAAATGACAGTGCCACCTAATCACTGCTAATTTATGTTGTTAGAAAGCTAATTTATCACGTGCCCTGTGCGAGACCTTACAGAAGAATGGGCACTCTTACCTGGAGCTGTAAGGAACTGTGATGGTTCAGCTCCACTCTTCCACTGGCCAGAGCTGGGTGAAAGCTCTGGTTAAACCAGGAAGGTCAAGGTAAGACCTTGGGGAAGTAAAGCCTAAAGTCATTGCTAGTGTCATATCTGATCTGTAGAGTACCTGTTTGGACAAACGATCCACATCATTCGGACCGCTTAAACCTCAATTCTCCGTGAGCCTGGTAACAAACACAGTTTGCAAACAGAGGACTAGGAGTCCTTCACAGAGAGGCCATAAAAATGCCTTCTAAAGGCTCTGCTTGAGAAGGGAATTGCTCCTTAGGGTTTTGAAATGCACACACCTTTCACTGCACCCCATAATGTCAATCTATTATTCAAATATCTCCAGGGAGTGGTTCCTGTGAAACCCTGCACAGTTAACCTATCCTTGGAGACATGCAAAGAGCTATTTTCATTGCAGTTTCAGGCTCTGTCCTCCTCCCTTTACAAATATTTAAAAAGTGATCTCCACCCTCTGCCTCTGAGCCCTGCAGTCCTGGTGCCCAGACACATCCAACTCCACATAACAGAAATAAGAATATATTCACAGCAATGTGTATTCATAGCAGAAACTGCTGTGGAGTTTTAAAAGTCAGGGCCCTGTTACTAAAAACCCATCCCATTTTTTTCCTTCCAATTTTGCTTTTTTTTTTTTTTAAGTTAGGCTTTATAGCTTCCCACCTTCCAGTCCTTCCCTCCACATTTCTATACTTCATGTATCAGGAGAGTGGGAGGTAGAAAAGAAAGAATCAGAAAAAAAATTGATGATACAATTAGAATTCATCAGGTCACCAAAAGAAAAAAGAAATCTAATTCATTTTAGAATGATCATTCCCAAATCTTGCTTCTAAGAGTAAGAACACATTGGATGAAAAAATTCCCTGATGGACACAGTTTTAGGCTCCAGATCAAGCCCACCAGGGTTTTGCCTTTTGTAAACCCCTCCTTAAACCCCAGTCAGCTCTGGCTTTGCAGGTCGCCTAGCATGCGGATGGACAGGGGCTACGAGCAAGTGCTGGGAAAACCCCACGGGCCTTTTCCATCGCTGACAGGAATCCCACAGCCATCACTTAAGCTGAGCCTGTAGAGCTTGCCAAGAAGGGATGCTCTGCAAAGCGAGTGCTGCTCTTGTTCTGTGCATTTTCTAGTCCAAGGTACTTTCACATTAACAGGCATCAATGGTAACAGCCTCGTATTTTTGCCTCCAGGACACAGATATCACAACCCTACTGTGTGATAAAACAGTCAAGATTATGGCAGTGTTGCTCCTGTATAAATGAAAAAAATCGGCTTGGCATGCAGGGTTTCCCCTGTGCAGCACGGGGACAGGAAATGCGCTTTCCTAACTGGCCTTGCACAAAACATGCAACTCCTGTGCTGCTACAGAACTGATGGAGGGGAGAAAGAAAGAGGAAGAAGGCACAAAGAGGTGAATAAATGAAAACACAAGCAAAAAAAAAAACCAAACCAAACCAACCAACACTGAGCTGCAAATCAAAATGTGTACACACAGACACAGAGTGTAAAACTCAGGAAATCTGAACATGCTCTTAATCAAGACAGTCCTCAAGCACATCAGTTGAAAGTAAGTATACCACTTACCCCAAACACTGCTAAAGGAACAGTTAGGCCACACTGGAGATAGTACTTCCAGCAGGAGTATTTTTCTAGCACCACCTTTTTAGCACACAGCCAAGAGGCTTACGTGTCACCTGTTTGCATTCATGTTGATGGGTGCCCAGAGATAAAGAGGTGTGCCTCATGTCTCCGTGTTTAAGGAGGGTGCTGCCTGACAGCATGGCTGGGAAGAGATTACACAGATCACAGCCCATTTATTCCTAGAGGCAAACAGCATTTCAGAAGAGATTTGTGCATGACCTACCCAGGAGGAGATCTAAAGTCAAATCACCCACACGCCCTAACACAATTACATTGTTCCTAACAAGTGTTTTCATGCAAAAATGTATTAACGATGGAGTATATGGATCACAGCTGTTCAGTTTCATCCACAGCTTTACATTCTTCTCTCTCTGCTTTGAGGAGGATACAGCAGTCTCTAATGCATACTGCTGTTCTCCTTCTTTCTCTCTTGTACAGACTGGAGGACACTGCGTTGCCCCGTGGGTACCACAGTGAAACACATCTTTACCACAGATTGCTAAAGAAGAGAAAAATTATTCTTTGGCAAAGACTGGAACATAAGGTATTATTACATGTGACATGCCTTCAGATCACACCTGCAACACTGCCCCATCTTGCAGAGAAGCAGCTTTGGGGCGGGGGGGATTGTCCTCCCCACACTATAGCACCTAGCCAGCCCTCCCAAGAGCAGCAAAGCCACTATTCTGTATGAAACCACTCAAACAAAACCATTTGTTCGACTCAACCCACTCCGCCCTCATACCAAGTGAAATGACTCTCTGTATAACTCAGACATCACCTCAGCATCCCAGACCTGCAGTCTAGCCAGCCATAAAGCCAGTGACTAACATGGTACCATACCACACAATTAAAGAGGGATGCTAATTCAAGCTTGCCAAAATCCTGCTATTAGACCAATAATTAATTCATATTTTAAGATACCAGGATTTCATCACGTCGTCCTTTTGGGGATGGACAGCAGACACTCAAGGGTTACAGCTTTTAACAGGGTCCACCTTCTGGAAGTGTCACTCAGCTTTCAGGTAGATCTGACAGACAGAGACAGACGAGTTGTGTCTTGGCCTTGCCTCTGCTTGGGAAAACAGACCCCACTGGCTAGTGGGACGTTCACTAGGCTCTGTCCTAGGGGTAGCAGTGAAGGCTGCATATTCCTCCTGCGATGGAGACCCAGCCCTCGAGGGACAGAGCAAGCACAGTGACAGTGAAGGGCTGACCTCTCCTGGCACCTGTCACAGCAAGAGCACTGCACAACAGGCAAAAAGTTGCAGTCTACTTAAGAAGGTTCTGCTGTATTCATATATAATAGAGCCATATTTTTAAATACACTGTGAAAATGTCAATGCTATGTAGAGTTCAAAAATGAAGGATGCAAATGAAGGATTCCACAAATCTGGCTTTATCCTTGAAAAGCAAGTGAGGCTGCATGATTAAAAAGAGTCGACATAGGCATTGGGGGAAGAAGAGTCCAAACCCCACCCAGACAGAAAATGAAGATACTGCAGGTCTCTTGATGGACAACATGTAAATACAAGTACAAGGGAATAATGCATTTGTACAGGTTTAGTCATTCTGCAAGTGCAAGTAAACTCCTAATAAAAAAGCCCATTTGGGTGCTACACAGACCTAACTGCAATAGCTGGTTTGTACCTCTGTTACAGCAGAAGCACTGAGAAAGTGATCTAGACCTCGAAGAAATAAGTTCCCTAGTGCTGTCATACCAGCACTCCCATCACACCCCAGCAAAGCAAGAACCACATTCTTGCCTAGTGTGGGTGAAGCGTAGTGAACGGCCTCACCCTGCTCTAAGGCTTCAGCAGCACCTTGGTGCCTGCAGAACTGGTCACCATCACACGCTTGCCAGCTCTGTCGAAAAAGGGGACAGAGAGTTAAACAATGTTCCTGCTTAGTCAAAACTTTATTTGAAGTGCTTTTGGCTAAAAGCTGCCAGATATGTACAAATGTAATATAAACAAGTTACTACAATAATTTTTTATAAACTCAAGTAACTGCTACGCTGGGGGAAGAGAGTTAATAAATAAGCACTGCAATGAAATACTCCGAGCTACACTACTTTTTTCTTAGGAAAATACATGATCCATCTTTCTTTAACTTTGGCCAAAATGACACTTCATGCAACTTCTGGGACTTTTCTGTAACATAAAAAGAAGGAAAGCAGAGGAGGAGAGTCAGTTGCTCTGAGCATTTATCTTTTGGTTGCTCTCAATTGCTTTACTTGACATTTTACCATTGTGAACTTTTTAGTTTCAGCTATAGAGGAATTCTAAAGAATTGTAGGATCAATGTCTAAGGATTGTCTTTCTTGGAAGGATCTAAGTCACTTTAAAGGTGCTCAGGATACATATAGGAGCCTAAAAAAAAAAAAAAAAAAAAAAAAAGGCTGCAAGGCTTTAGCTTCCAAATGCTGATGTCACTCCTATCAGCTGCAGGTGCTCTACGACACTTCGTCAGCTGTCAGCATTGCTAGAACTGCAGAATTTGCACAGCAAGAATTGACAGGCACACAAAGCACTCTGAGAATGTTACAACGGGGAATGCTGGCATAAAATCATACCCAGAAAGGGGGCACAAAAAGGGTAAGTGAAGCAACACGGCTCTGCAGATGTGGCGAGAACCTTGCACAACAGGCCAGGCAAGGGAACAGCAGATTCTGGATTTCCTTTCTAGAAAGCCAGGAGAAACTGGGAATGGAGAAGCCAGAAAAGGAAGCAACAGTTAGTTTTGCAACTACATCTGCATTTCAGCATAACCAAACCAACAAAAGGAGGCTGAATTTCAAAGAATGGCTCAGTTACATAAAGGAATGGAAGGCAGCATGGAACTGGAAAAAAATGGAAAACAAAACTAGGAATGTGGCAGGGGATGCTCTAACATCATCCGTATGGAAGGATCTCCACGCAGTTTCAACTTCTCTGCAAAAAGCACAGCACCATCTCTGTCCCTCATCAGTTACTAACATTTTCATGCTTCATGGTTAAGAAAATACTGTAGATAAATAAAGATTTGCAATGGTATCTGATGAAAATGGTTTAACTCTCTCAGAGGACCTGCCCCTTCCTGGGAACGAGCGCTTTTACCTCCCAAGTTACCTCTTTGAACTCTCATCAGAAGTTGCTTTCAAATTGTGTCAGTGAAGCAAACATCTGTGCCATGTGAATAAACGTCAGAGTAGTCTGGGAAAAATAAAGCAAAGTTTTTTTGGTGGTTTTTTTTTGTTTTTTTGGGTTTTTTTGTTTTTTTTTTGAAATAGCTCCATGCTACTTATTCCCTCCTCAGCCATTCAACTGTTTCTCTAATAAATACATTAAGTCACAACGCCTTACAAGTGAACGTGCTATGCTTTTTCACTAACTTCTAAACAGGAAATTCAGAGCAATGCCCAGCATCCTTCCTTGATGTGACAATTCTGACCGCCTTAGGACCCAGCCCATAGCTTACCCACAGCCTAACCTTCACGTTTGTAACGCATCACTGCGCCGTCCCTGCTCTTGACAGTATCATGGGATTAGGAATGACAGTCTTACAGAGATTTACAGAGTTTCCAAGTCTTTCAGTCAACACAGCAGCCACCAGAATTTTACCCACAAAGCTGGTTGCATTCATGGAAGAAGGGAAATAGCCAGAAGTTTGCCCACCCACTCATTCAGCAACACTTACACCTCCAGAAGGGTAAGGGAAAAGAGAAACAGCCTCTGAAAAATAAAAGAGAAGATAATAAGAATCACACAGGATCAGAAAAATTGTGCATTTCCTTAAGGAATGGTTTGGTTTTCCTATAGATAACAAACAATCTCCGGTAGACAGTTAGAATAAGCAGACACATGAAAAAGCAGACTAAAAGGACTAAGAAAAGGCAAAAAACCTAAAAACTGAAAAGCAAGCAATTTAATATGTGCAGTTAGAATATGAATGAAGAGACACAGGAAAAACATGTGCGTGTACTGCTGCTAAAGAAAGGATTGTATTTTTATGCTCCGCCTGTGTGGGCGATTCAGTAGGCTGCAATGCACATTAGTCAGGCCAGGCTCTGAGCCTGTTAGAGCACACACTGCAAACAGCCAGAAGAAAATATTTGCAGCTTCTTTTTCTCCTCCAGGGCAAGAAAGTTGTCAGCTGCCTTCCACCTTGTTTTGTAGGACAGATACCTGGAATACAGATGATGATTCTCCAAAAGGTCACAAGGAAGGATACAAGATACATGCTGCATTAGAGGGAAATAATCTGGCAAAAATAAATTATCATGATTAGGTCAATTAAAAGTCTGTGGAGAAGTCAGGCAGCAGACAACCTGAAGATACCTCTTAGTCACTGTTATATATGATACAAATGGGACTATAAAACCGTATTGTTCATCTAACACGATGTGGGTGAGCGTAAAAAGGGTGAGGCAAGAAAGAATTTCAGTGCAGAATTCAATCCACCTTTTCATCCTCTGGATTGGGAAATATCTGCTTCTCTTGGTTTTCCTAGGAGGTAAACTCTGTTCCTTGCTAACTTGATTGGAAGATGCAACAAACCTTTTTCTTTTTTTTTTTTTTTTTTTATTCTTTAGCATTACTGCTTTTCTATAACATTGTCCTTCTTTTTGATGCAAGTTACTTGACTTAGTTCAGCAATAACGAACAGGGAAACACAGTATATACAGCACTTCCTACGTTTGGTTCTGGCTATTTATTCCTTGGGAAGTTAAAAGTTTTCTCATTACTTAGATGACATTGAAATATCCAAAGATGTTTAAGCTCATCAGAAATTAGCCTGTCTACACCTGCCAAATGGAAAGAGCTAACCACAAGGCATCGTGGCCTTCTGGAGCAGGACCAGTGTGCCAGATCCCACTTCCAGCCACCAGCGAAAACATCCTGTTCCTCAGAAAACTTGCTGGCTACGGAAGTTATTGACTGAACAACTAATCAATATCCATTTCCAGTGAGCTAGAAAATCTCTATTATCTCTGAATAGCAGGCATGACATTAGGAATAGTAAGTTATTTGTGGAAATATTTAATCAGAAGGGTTTTTTAAATGGATCCACCAAAAAGGGCAAACGTACAGTTATCTGAGGGAAAGCAAGGGAAGCTGTCAGTTGACAAAATCCCTATCCGGTAACTAGAAAAGGTTCTTCCTTCTACTCCTTAATCTCAAATCCAATGTGCTTGGACTTGAAATGCAAGGAACAGTCAGAAATGCTGAGCAGGGAAGTGGCGTACATGGACAAAGATGGAAGGATCTATCTACACTGATAGAACTGAGGCTCACAGCTATCACTCACTCACTTCTCCCAAACTTTTAAATAAATCATAAAAAACTTGACAGAAGCATCCTTGCAGGTGCTGAGCTCACTGGGCCTATTCCAGATCATGCTGGCAACCACTGCAACGTGGAGACAGTCAGAACACTGCAGGCTGGCGGCACGACACTTCAAAGAAATCGAGAGATGGGTCAGTTGTGAATAATCTACTCTTAAAAGGTCTCAGAAAGGAACGGAGCATTTGATTTCAGAGTCTGTAAGAGCTACAGTCTGAGAGAGAGATTTTCAGCCAGTACTGGGCAGGATTTTTAGTAAACATGTCTGGGTGATGCTTCCATGTTTCATAAATGCTATGAAAAGGTGAGAAATACCTTGCTGAGAAGACTCCAGGTATAATTTAACTTGTCCATTACATAATGAAACACCACTTCTGCCTGCAATAGAGCCAGGTGGTATTCAATAGGCCATGACCTGTTCTCAGGAAATTACTAATGTGCGACAGCAAAGCAGAAATCTTGATCTGTGACAGCAAGAGACAGTCATTTTGGAGCACGCTTGTGGCTCAAAATTATCACTCTTCGAGTCTTCTAACAAAGCAAAGCTAAAACTACGGGTTGGGGTTTTTTCGCCGCAAGAATTAAAAAATAAGCCCGTACTTTCAACAAGTCAACAAATCTTTCACTCGAACAGCTCCAGAACGGCAGCATGTACTAACTCTGTCCAAAGTTTCTATTGAGGCTCCGCAGCTTGCCAAAATATTCAGACGCTGCCTTGGCAAAATATTTGCTTCAATTCGTATCCTAGCACAGCTTCTTTTCTAGAGCCTCAGGGAAGGGATAATTCAAAAGAAGCACTGATTAAGCAGGCTGAACTGCACAACACAAAGCTTCCATTCAAAAGCCTGCTGTTTTTCAACCTGAGTTGCCAACGCTATTTATCTCACTGCTCTGATCAGAATCCCATATTACAGCGTGAATTATAGTTAGATCTTGATATACAGCAAAATAAATGGCACGGCAAACTCGAATTCCTTACACTAATTCTTGCCACGGAGGTATGCGTGAGCCCTGCAAGGAAAGCAAAAAGAATCAGTCTAATGCTGCAGTTCGCCCATACTCTTCAGTTTAGTTATTCCCTGACGGAGGGAGGGCCCAAGATGCTGCAGAGCCACCCCTGGCTGCAACCTGACAGCTGTTGCCAGCTTTCCATGCTGCAGATGCCTTCCTGCAGAATTCGTCCATAACATTTCATGCAGACATACAGTGTCCTCAACTTCTACTTTAACTGACCTACAGTAGGCAACTTCCTACCACTCCCCCCAGAAGTCTTCAATTAAAGTTATTTTTCAGAATGTTTATGCTATAGCTAATAAACGACTCAGCAGCATTGAGCTTACAGAACAATCACCTCCATAACCCAAGTTCCAGAAAAAAAATATATAGTTATTCTAAGAAAATAAGTTGCCAGTCAGACTGCTCTAATTGATCCAAGCGGCGCAAGTTCGCTGTGGGAAACTGTGTCAAGGAAATGCCTATGTAGTTTTCAGACCACAGAGGATTCGGACTGTGTTTTCTTAATTTAACACTAAGTATAAAACTTTGCATCCTTATGAAGAATCCAAAAAGCTCACGCAAACTGACAAACCAACTTCATATAACGATTTGCAATTTTTCCATGTTCTGCATTGACTGAGAAAGGCATCCAACCTCTGAAATGATAAACAGGATATAAAGTAGATATGATAGAAAGAGTAAGGAGGAATGAAAGAATCTATTCAGCTGTACACTTCTGTGCACAAGTCACAAGAAGCTGGGAGTATGCAACAGTGCTGTCTAACAAGAGTTTCTATTTGAAAAGACTCATTAAAGTAGGTGCTGTTGTTTAATCTTCTATTAAAAGACTGACTTTGGCTTGCAGTGTTTGGTTTGATTTTAAACCGGTGCGTATGATTTCCTACACAAGGAAATAAAAATCCAATTACGACATTCTAGTAAAAACAAATTCAGTATGTGAAAAAATAAAATCTCAGTGCTAATCAGTACAGCTGCAGTAGCCATAGTGGAGCTAACACACACCAACCTGCTCACTCCCAAAGAACTCCCACCTCACTCACCCAAGATCTCGGTCTGCTTCAGTTTACATGAACAGTTGCACCATAATGAATCAAAACCTGAATTTTTGTAAAGAAACTTGATGCCTATGACACAGTATTTAAACAAAATTCAGAAGTAGCAGCCATATTATTTCCTAGTTATGAAGTCAAACATTTTAGACCAAGGAAAAAGTTACTACTTCTTCTCCTTAAAAAGTTATTTCTACTTCCCTTTGACTAGCGATTATTTCCCTCATTCCACTAGGATACGTTCCAGGCCTTTTTCCAGGAATTCATTCATTAATTTTGTATAGCTTCAGAATTTTTATTGATATTTTTCCATTATTTTTTTAGGGGCAAAAGATATTACAATTTCTCTTTGAAGCCACTCTTAGTGGCATATTTAAAGAATTCCAGCTGAATTAGACTCCTAGTTCGTCTTTACCAAGCTTAATTACTAAGGATGCTTTATTTAAGATAGTGCTGTAAATGAAAGACAGGCTAGAAAATAGCAAATATACTGAAACCCACTTGGAGTATGGTGAGGGAAAGGGGGGCAGCACCATGTGCTAGAATACTGTTTTGCTCTATACAACATAATCCCAACAATATCAAAATTTAATCCTCAAATACCTCAGACTATTAGAAATCACTACCCTAAAATGTGCTAGAAACTGTTTCTGTAACACACATTCGAAATGCACAAGCCATGCAGTAACAGAGAAGCATTACATAACAGTAAATTACAATGAAGCGACTATGACAACCAACCCATCCAGCACAGAAAAAAAGGTACCAAGTCAAGCATCAGCGTTTACAAAAATCCTTCCTCCCAGTTATTCATACACTGAGGATGTCTGTAAGGAAACAGCAAGAAATCATATTTATTTAACGGTGTTTATGAATTTGTCACTTCATTCTCATAAACACGAGTCAAGGGGTGATGATTGGGACTAGAAAAATCATCTTAAAATACTCTGTGCTGGACAATAATTAAAACCCTGGGAAAGCCTTGTGACATTCCCACAGAAATAGAGGAGAAAATTGTTTTCTGTTCTCTGAACAACTCCTCCTTGGTGATCTGGAGCCAAACTCCAAGCTGGAGTTTTGGTTCACGATTAGAAAAACACTGTCTGTCAAACACATGGCCTAGATGGGATTGCCTGATTACAAATTCATGCTTGGGGTGGCAACGAATGACCTAGTCAGATGGGCAAACACAGTTTGAGTTTCTCCCAGAGAAGATACAAAACACAGTAATAACAGCCCACCCCTGTACTGCCTTTACCACAATTACAGACTGAAACCATTACGATGTGATTGAACAAGCCATGTGAAATAGATGAACTCTCATGGTTCCTTCCAGTGCAAGTGCTTTTGATAATCAAAAATAACAGGCTGGGCAACACACCATTTTTACTCCTTTTATCATCAATACATTTAGTATGCATGAGAATAAACGTGTTGGTGCGGAACCCAGTTAAAAGAACCAACGTTCCACAGGACTGTTTTATTAAGTATAATTTACCTTTATATGTCAATGAGAACACGGGAATAAATAGAGGGGGAAAAGGTTCAAGCAGTACAACATTTAAAAACACTGAGTTACTTTGTTCTGCGTTATGAAATGTTATTTGCGCAGTACACTTCATTATCAAAGCTCCAATTCCACCTTCCAACTGTAGAACAAGTTTGACTTAACACAGAAGAAAACGTAGGCTGATGACTTGGGACCCGAAAGGGCATCTTATGGCTACTGAACCCACACTGGTCACTGCAGTCACTTCTTTTAATCTTATTAACTTGTTCAGGTTTATCTTTAAATCTGACTGATCCCTTTGTGAAAACCAAAGACATACCAAAGAGCTGCAGTTTTGTCATTTAAACCCAAAGCCTATGTTTTACATAAGCCAGTTTAATTCCCAGTTTTAAGTTTCCTTTTCCCTCTAGAACATGAGGATGCAGCAATACTAAACTGTCTCCCAAAATCAAAGTATTTCAGGCAGTTTGTCAAAAGTACAGCAGCTCTTAACAGAGGAGCAGCTGGCATACAACTGTGAGCTCAAGGAAAACAACCGTATAAATCTTATGAAAACAAATAAAAAAGAGAAAGTGTTTACATACCTATGTTTAACACCTGCAAATGGACCTGGAGTTTTCCAAGGGTGCTTCAGTGAGGAGTTTCCTGGCACAGCTCAGATCTCTTGAATACCATAGTCACGCAAAAAGAGCCATTTCTCATCTACAGGTAGTATTGGCAGAGAAAGAAAATAAAACCAGTGTAGTTCAGAATAACAACTCCAAAATTCACACGCACGCAGAGCCGCCAGCCCCACACAACCACCCGACCCACATAATTACATTCAGCTGCTTGTCATGTGGTCTTGCTGACCGATCAAGTGATCTCTTTTCCTCCTTTTAAAACCAAGCAACATAGCTAGATCTCTCCAACCCAGGTAACAAACACTGAGCCTCCTCCTTCTTGTCACATGGAAAGGAAGTTGCAGTGACAAAAAAATAAAATACAATACAGCAAACACAGTAGTCTACTATAATGAAACACAGCGAGTACTAAAAGCTCCCAAAAGTTAATGGATAATTTGCATTTTGAGCCTGGTTTTATTTTATGCCTTTACAGGTGGCAGAAAAAGTTACTGATAACAAAATCGGCAGAGACACCAGAGCGAGACCACGTGAGGAGGAGCTGGAAGGATCTGGGAGGGCACCAGTACTGCAGGGCTCTGTGGGCACCCACGTCCAGCCACGAGCTCCAGCAGAAGACCACGGCTCAGATGCTGCCAGAAACTTTCTGAACCACCGCAACTAGATCTGCGAGCGAGCCTGTCCCCCCGCCCAATCCCGAGACGCATGCAAACGTTTTAAAACATTTAAATAATTTCAAGGAAATAAAGTTACCGCTTTACCACGTAAACCAACTGTTCCTCACCAACCAGCCCATTCACTGGGGCCTACCAACACAGGCACCCAACGGGCAAGAGCCACGTGTCCGTGCCGAGGCGCTCGCTGGACAGAGGGTCCCTGCGCTGGGCCCAAGGGATGCGAGAGGAACCGGGCAGGCACCTGCAGGCACCGGGCGCCCCGGCCCCTCTCACGCCCCCCTGCCTTACAGCGCTAACGCCTGCGAACGACGCACTCACCCTGCAAGCTCCAGCAGATGTGAGCTGCTACGGAGGACGGGCCACCTTGCACAACCCTTTCTTGTCTCCGTTTCTTTCCTCACAGTGTTTCAAGAGCAGAGAAGAAAGCAAATTAAGGTTTCTAAGCCCGCTCTCCAGTCTTACCATTTAAGAAGTGCTGCAGACAGCCGGCTGCAGCATTTAACATATCCTTGATGCACTCACCTACCAGGAACGAAGTCAACTCCGCAAGCTCCTTAATTAACTTGTTTCAATGCTCAGCTATCTCGCCTCCTTTCCTGTGAATCAAGGCGATTTTTATTCCCCTCTTCCCAGTGATCATCTAAGTTCTGTTACACTGAGCTGGCATGGCAAACAGCTATCTGTGGCAGAACACTTTTTTATGTCCTGCCTCAGCAGTTTTCCAGATTTAGCCAAAATCAATTTCTTTGACATGTTGTTACTGGTTATAATTTTTAAAACTCTACCCATTCTTGGCTCAGCCCCATCTTCTATAAATTTCACTGTTTCGGAAGAACACAGAAGTCCCTTTTTTGCTTCCACATACAATAAAAAAAGTTTGTGTTCAGTTTTCAGCAGCGTGAACATCTTTAATCTTTACCGCTTTCCTGATCAATACCAGCACATTTGCTTACTGTGGAGAAATACTCCGACCACAAGCACCCAAGAATTTCTGGTAAGTGCTCCAGAGCGCAGAAGGAGGAACAGGATAAGAAGTGTTGACAGACAAAGCAACAACCCTTCTGCCATGTTGCAAACAGTCCTGGGGGGTGGCTACGCAAACTCCCTGTCTGGAAGTCTCACCCAGCAATGGAAACAGAGTTCAAACTCTTCCACACAGTGAGATTTTTGCCATCTTTAAGGGGAAAACAATTAATAAATAATTCCCAGACTTCAGTTTTGATTTCAGGACAAAACAACGCTGCTTAACTTTCCTCCTACCAACTTGTTGTGAGGAATGCCAACTAATTTGTCCTTCCCCCTTCCAGGAAAGGGTTTTATCTGAAACAGGAAGACTTTGCTAGGAAGGTACAGCTGAAACAAAGCTTATTTTCTGAGGGTGACGTTATACTGATTTCAAACTGCAGAGTTAGTACCAAAACAGAGGGCCTCAGTTTACAAACTGGGTGGACATCAGTGTTGGGTTACTTAAAGTCTCCATTTTTAAACAAAGACGTTTCCAGTCTCAGCAAATGTTGCACAAACAGCCGAGCCAACCCTGCTTCAGCGGCAGGAAGCGCCTGCAAAAGCTGCGGCAGCAGCTGGGACAGGAACCACTGCAGCCAGCCCGAGGTAAGCCTTCCCCTTGCTGCTGTCTGAATCTCAGGGGGTTGTAAGAGCTTGGACATTTTCTAAGTTTACGCAGGGGATCAAAATTACATCAGTCAAGTCCAGAAACCGTGCTTTGAAACTGTGTAGTTTTGAAGCTACAGCTCTACAAAGGAATGACCAGCTATTTAGTTAATAAATCTTCCCGTTGATTTTACAAACAAGTTTTATGAACAGGTTGTATGAACAAGATGACCCGAGTGCATGGAATTTATGGCCTTCTTGTAAAAATGATCTGTGCTACACAGGCCTAGGAAATTTGAGGAGAGTCAAACACAGCAGACAGTGTGGAGCATTCTTCATCACCAAGCATCAGAGTATTTGCCTTCACACATTCCATGCTCTTGAGAAAAGCCTCAGGTGTCTGAACTGCCCTGTAGCAGGTGTTTCCCCTAGAAGAAAATGCTGGATTGTTACCTGTCTGACCATGGTTCTTGCAGGAATTAAGACATCTGCCACTGGAGACAGAAATAGAGGACGAAAAGCATCTAGCAACAGTCCATTCCAGGTAATACCACAGAATAACTCATCTCTGTTTTCAAAGTCAAATCTTGTCTGTGCCACAAAACCTCTAACTGGCAATCAAAGAGGAAACTTAAACACAAGAGGGGGAAAGGCAGCCACTGAGACATGCTGCCCATGAACTGTGTTGCATATAGTGGCCAACTTCAAGAAGAGCCGGAGCACGTGCTATTCAGCAATTATTTCACAGTGAAAGAAACAATCTACAAAATACAAAAAGAAGAGATGAGAAAAAAGTAAATAGGAAAAATATGACTGTATTAATTGGTACAGGCAGATTCCTACAACTGTGAAACAGAACTACAGTTGTTTCCCAGGAAGAAAGTCAGCTGCACACAAAAAGACACTGGAAAAAATTAGATGGGCTGATGGGATGCGCCGCAAAGGAAAACTGACCCATTGTCATGTGAATGAGGTGGCTACTTACTGCTGCAATAGTCCTGGCATGTTGCTGCATTTCTGTATCTCAACACAGAACTAAAAACACCTGAAGGGAGGAGACAAAATCCTTTATACAGACTTTTTTCTGCTTTCCACTCACCAATATTCTTTAAAAACAAACAAAAAAAAACCCAACAAAACCACCACTGACAACCCACACTCAGATGATCAGCTTGCACACCAGAAATGTAACAGCTGAACTTTGCCAGCATCAAAACCATTAAATACACCTTCAGTGATTAAAATGAAAGTAGGTCAGGCAGGCCTTTCTGCTACCTAAACAGCACGTTTGCTAAATATTTAGTAATACCACAGATTAAAACAAAACTTTCAGGTTTTGTTCTTTCAACTATAAGCTGACCTAGGGAGTTTCTAGTCATGGTGACAGAGCTTTCTTTTAGCACTGCAAGAGATAAAGCATCGGTACCTTTAACGTCAGTAGCGTTTTACGCAGAAAAGAGCTTCTTAAAAATAGTCCCCGCTCCAAGATAGGCTCTAGATGATTAACTTCCAAGAGTTATCAGGGTCTCTCCAAGAATAAAAAAATGTTAGCACTAAAATAATTGACAAATTAAAAGCGTCAGTTTTATTTTCACGGAACTTCGTGCTTCCTAAAGACAGAAAACCTTCCCAGCAATGGGGCACTTAACATCAGCACTTTGGAAAACTTTAGACCAAACTCTGTCATCTTTCTCACAGGAAAAACATCAAAAGATTTTTTTTCCTGAAATAAAATTTGGTTATATTTGAAGAACCTGTTAGTATCTACAAAAAGACCAGTAAAATATCCCAAACAAGCAAATTAATTGATTTCTCAATTCTGTTGAACTACAAGTTTTCTGCCTTCGCATCACTTTCTATTAATGTCAGTGTAGGCACAGTTTATCCTGAGGCAAAGCCAAGAGTGTAAGTGCTTGCTTCAGATCTGAATGAAAAGGGAAAGAAAAAATTAATTCCTGAATCGGTTTCTCTCTTATTACAGTTCTGCAATATTAGAAAGAAAATAATAGAAGAAAATACAGTGTCCACGTACAAGGTGTTAAGACACCAAGAAATGGTGAATAAAATGTGTGTACTTAAACCAGCAATAAAATGTATTAGTGTAAGAACAAACATGATTATTCATTTTGATCGAATTAAGAAATTTCATCCTTCTGCATGTAGGAAATGATATTTTGGCAATATTCACATTACTCAGATTACATCACCTTTACTTAAAAGAGGAAAATTTAACCTAAAGATGAATTACTTGACATGCTACAGCTCTTCTGTGAGACTTACGTTGGTTCCACATTTTGTAAAACTTATGGAGTGAGTGCTTGATGGCATGAACACAGCACCTAGAACAGTGAATGCACGCAGGCAGAAGCGTCCCTGCATTTTGGGAAGAAGCTGTACAAGCACACTCATCATCTCCTGTCTCTGCCTTCAGTCTGAAGAGTTACAAACCTCATTGCAGATCAGTGACCTTTATCTATGTATTAAAGGGGCTGATGACTAAGTGGGTTTTTTTATTTAAAAAACATAGTGGCTTCACAGGAAGCTGCTGTACCAGTGTAAAGGAACGTGTGCACTGCAGCTTCCTCAGGAAGGATTGTCAGTGTTTCACACTCCTCTATTAATACAGTTTTGAAAATTGGTTTTGTATTTTTATTCATGCTTAAGCTTTATCAATAAGCATTTGTTCTTGGCACTCCCTGACCAAGTATGTCATTGCCAAGAAAAAGATACTGCTTTTGAAAACTTAGCAGAGTTCCAATTTGGACACAGCTGGGTTTTCTTTCCAGCGCAAGACGACCCTGTTCACATCTTCTGTAAATCTACTTAATAACGCAAGCGGTCCTTCGTTTTCCTCAAACTGACAACAGCGTCTTTCACACTTTAAATCTGATCTC